GGAACCGACCTTCGAATCTCTTTACCCAACACTCACTCTAAATGGAAGTAAGCTCAACACTTCTTATTCAATTATGCTAATAAGCTATGAGAGCTGATAGGCACCTCGACACCAATAAGCCAACAACAAGCTTGATCTAGCCTAAATGTCTAACAGGATTGAATGGTGGGATATAAAATTTTTATTTGAAAACTAGAATAATGAACACGAAATATTTCAGTAAGGTCAGTGGGAAATAAAGCCGGTGATTTCCATAGAAAATAAAATATTGATGGTTAAAACATATATGGGAAGATCGCTTGCAGGACGCATGGATGACGTAGAACAAAATACCTAAGGGAACTTTTCTAGACCAGGTCGGTTCACCGCATTTACATAGATAACTATTTCAACAATAAGTGAGGTTGAAATATGATATTGTTGGGGGAACTTTCATTTCGTCTGAAAGTGAATGAAGAAGAGATTTGTTGGTCGATCTTACCAGATGATGACGGATAAATCTAGTTATACTGCAACCGTTTGGCTTTTATACGATATTCATGCTGACGCAGTCCACGAGACTTCCTCTCTAGTTTCAAGTGAAAACGTGCTGAGCTTTCGTCCATCATATGATGGACATCATCAGAGCTGGGTGTCATCCATGTATAAGTCTCAGGTTAACACCATGCGGCTCTATCTTACTTCTTATATAGACTCAATTGAGCCAAAATAAAGTCAAAAACCTAGATACATCGATATTGTGGTTTAGTTATCTTTCATACTGATCCTGTTACTTTTGCTCGAGTGTATGCGTATATGTGCGTGTTAGCGTCTATATGCAATACCGGTCCTAGATCAGAGTTGTCAAAGGTTTAATCTCAGGTTTTGATCCTCAAGACCTAATGAGCCAAGGGAAAGCCTTGACCGAGATTGCGTAAGTCCGCAAACAAGTATGGTTGAGATGATGAGATATGAGCTTGTAAGCATGAAAATCAAGTCACGAAACCACTTGTCCTAACCTTTCAGTCTGGAGTAATTAACGTTTAACCCCCCAAAGAAAATCAAGACTAGAGTTGCGTAATCCGACATGTTTAATTTGGTTATATGAGCTTACTCTAGCATGTTGGACGAATGTGAGTAAAATTAGAACCATCAGCGAGCAAATTGAGTCGCTTTCTTTTTGACGGCGGCTCAACACAATCCCTCCGTTTTAATCTATCCATCAAGTATAAGTAGTTACTACTCAACTTTCTACCACAGTTCCTCACATTCAACGTATTTCCTAAGCTAGTAATTTCAATAGCCTCTCTTAGCTTTCTTTTTAACCAAAGGCGTACCATAATCAGCAAGTCTAGTAGTTTGAGAATGCGGTTTAATCCACAATCCTCCCTTCGGGTCCTATCAGAGTGCTCTCTTGCTCTGTAGGATCCTTCCACTATCTGCCTGTTTCAACGATTTCACTCTATTGCTGCCATCGTATGCTACTCAGGACGTTATGTTCTACGCTCTGTCTTATTGAACCAGCCCCCAAAGTCTAGATTCTTATTTGGCATGGCGACCTAACTTGACGCTGCAGATTCCCCTATTGCTGTGAGGAATCTGCACCGAGAAAATTTCGTGGTCAAGCCTTTACTTCATCGACCATGTCCATGAGCAAACTAATCTAGTAGAAGCGAACTAGAAATGGCCACTACCGTTTCTCAGTATTCTGTCCCTAATGCCGTGTCTATAACTTCCTTACGTGATGACCCCCAGGCGTGATGGTTCTATTTGATTTAAATATACTTACTGTGTACGTCTTGTCTTTGCTTCAGATTGTTCCTCCCTGGTCTCCTTGTAATTTCTTTTCCTGAATTTAAAAGTATTACCTTTGTCTAGTCAGACAGGAGGTACCACAACCGTTTGGCCGATAATTGGTCGAGATCGACTTGATTTTCTTTAGTGAGTTTCCAGTGTGGTGCTACGAATGGCGAGACTCACTGACGATGCCGGCGAAACGCCTGGGAATGTGCCAAGTTCATAGTCCGACCGGAAATTATCACGCATACTATGGACTCCGTAAAAGGTTCGTTCCTCAAGTTCTTCCTGCCAATATCGCCAAGTTGCGAAAACAACTTCTAAATGTAAAGTAGTTTCTCCAAACTCATGATGAAAAAAATTAAGTTTCTTTTGTTTAGAGGCGAAATTCGTGAAGAGTTGTGTAAATCCTCCCTGTGTTCACGAGCAAAGATCCGCTTCATTCCAAACGAGATTCAGAGCAAGCCCGAATTGTCAAATGTTTTTATCATAGTATCGACCTGAAAAGCCCACAAATGAGACCCGATAATATGGGAATGAAGACTGAGGAATAGACTGCCTTGCCTTTATATCGCAAATCCAAATACATAAATTTTGCGTACAAAAATCGCTGAGTGACGAGGGGTTTGTTTGTGTATGCACATTGATGATAAGATGACAACGATAAAAATGGAGATGAAACGAGCAACCGGGCAATTCCAAGACTTCAAGGTAAAGCGATGTTTTGCATACATATGCGAAAGCATATAATACGATTTGGGAAAAGTGGGCAATAATTAGCTGAAGTGCCCGCTATTTTGCAATCAGAGAAAATGAGTGTATTTCGTAAAAGTATAGGTAGTTTGGTAACAAGATGCAGGTGTCATTTTTATGCTCTGTAAAGCCAGGTCTAGATAAACGATATCGTCCTACTTGACAGAGCAAAATCGGAAATCAAGTCAAATCATTGCAAAATAAATGGTTTACGAGTAGAAAAGCGAATTACCTAAAGGTTAAAAAGATGTTTGATTACCAATAAAATCGAGTGAACGCGAGAAAACAATTGAGAAGGGAATACACGAGATTAAAGTAGGCTGAGACATGCGAAGGGAAGATACATAAGGAAAGACAATGGCCAATCAGAATGGCCAGGAGAAATCTGGAAGGTTAAATCGTTGACTGTTTACTTTCTTAGGTAAACATGTCTGAATAAGGAAAATAAATAGGTCTAACCATAGTCGATTACAAAAACGAGGAAGAAATGAGTGAGAAGACTGCCTGCGTGATTTAAAATGAGTCAGATCGCATGGCCAGAGTCGTTTGAAACTTGGCCAACAAATATCACATGCGCGTCACCACACTCATCCGAAGAACAAGCATGTACATTAAGCAAAATAAAACTTGAATTGCGCTGGCTGTACGGGGTAGTAAATGCAACACCAACCTATATGAATTGGTTTGTTTTTAGATAGGAAAGACGCCCGCCTGGAAAAAAATAGACTACACTATAGATTAGTTATCAGGGCAGCGGGGGCATAAGTACGAACGGGAAGAGCGATAACGGAAAATCGAAGAGTTTATTGATTTAAAACAAAGGCAAGTTATTATGGGGAAACGTAGACAAACCTGTATCAAAAAGAAAATGAAAAAATCGTTTTATTTTGATAGTCACCGCATTCAATATAGCAAACTAAGATGATCTTCATCGAAAGCCAATTTCTAAAAAATAAAACCGCCGACAGACGGCGTGTATGGCGTAGACGGGCAAACGATTGTGTAGCAGCTTCGCTTGAAAGGTGTAGCAAGATGTCGAGTGCAACTATAATAGTAGCAGTCAGCATTGGTAGCAGTAATCAAATAATTCGTTTAAAAATGCCTGATTTCAGTGAACAAGACCGTAGAACACCAGAAAGACACTGCGCCATCGAAAGACTATGTAAACGCAACAAATGCATCAGATAAAAGCGTGTCAAAATTAGACATCGCATAATAGTACAATTGTAGCACTGTTCCTGGTAAGACTATCTTTCCCTATTTACCATCCATTGGTGAAATTGATCTACATCAGGACAATATGAAAGGAGATTGAAGGACCTAAACCAAAAAAAAGGCGAAGGACTTTGTATCCCTTGCAGAAATGGGGTTCGGAATATCCGGCAAGGCTAGCTTGTTAATAAAGACCAGTGAAAATGAAAAGGAAGACAGTAGAGCTAGAAGAAAATTAGGATGGAAAAAGCATAGCATGCCCTCGTTGGCGAGGCCTAGAGTGCAGCTAGAAAGCAAATGTCAATGTATCGATGGCAGATTAATCTAGGATTAGGTAAAAACATGAGTTACAAAAGGGGGCAAAATGCGATTGGAAAGAGCAATGCGTAGACTGGTCTGAAAGTTGGTGGCTCAACAATAATGTATGCATAAAAATGGTAATATTAGAGCGACCTTCGAGGGTAATTAGCTAAGACTTTGTAGCCGCGACGGGCGCAGAGTTAGAATTCTCTCCTTCGTACAAAATTGCATGCAACAAATTGACATTTGGGGAACAGGTCAGATCTTCAGTAGATTTGACGAAATCGCCTTGATTCCAAGCCTAATTATTAATCAAAATAAGAGGTAAACTCAGCATGGAAAACAAAGTAATGGGTATAAATATATGATTTGAAAGACTAAATTACCTCATCAAGAAGCACGTCGCTAATATCCTGGTCAATTAGATAATCGTCCGACAGACTACCACCCTCCAAATCGGAAGGAATGCAATCAGCAGTTTTGCTCGCGTAAGATGTCGAGCATCCTTTTGCTTCGTGTTTAGACATATGACTCAGAAGTGACGCACGAGAAGCATAGGTCCGGTTACAATAACTGCATGTAAACAGGCTTGGGTTAGTGTGCCTTAAAATATGTGCATTAAGCTGACTGGTACGGGAGAAACCGCGCAAACAATAGACGCACTTGAGAGTAGTGTTTTGCTTTGAATGCATAGTAGCATGGCGCTCCAGTTCACTGCGATATGCAAAAGCTTTACCGCAAACTTGACAGCAATGAATATCTAAAGTAGGATCGTAGAGTATTAAAGTAATGCTAAGTCCATTGTAGCAAAGCTTTACATTGATCGAAGTATAAAAAGTTAGCATAGCTACGCATAAAACACGAAAGTGAGATCATAAAGAGCATTTAATCTATTAATATTCGAATTTAAAAGAAAGAATATAGGAATATTTCGGAGCAACTCGCATTTTGAAGGATCCTGAATGTGTTGTCTCCTGTGATGCCAAAGACTGGAGGCAAAGAGGAAGCAACGACCACATTTTGAACAGGCAAACGGTTTTTCGTGTCTTGAGAGCTCAACATAGGCATGATGGCAGTCCATATGTAGGTGCAAATGATTTTTCTGAAAGAACCTCATCTTGCAAATGTCACATGAATATGGCATAAAGCCCTCATGCGCTCGTTTATGGACAGCCAACGAATAATTAGATGAGAACGATCTACTGCAAATATCGCAATGAGCTCGCACTTTTGTGGAATGTTTCCTTGCGATATGCCGCTGCAGATAGGACGAATGGGCGAAAGTAGATCGGCAATATGAACAAGCATGGGAACCTTTGCAACGTAGAACATGTTCAATTATATCACCAGTTGAGAAGAACTGCTTGCATGTCTTGCATGTAGCAAATACGTATTCACTGTGTCTTTCTTTTATATGAAATACTAAGTTTGCTTTGGAGCACGATCGAAAAGGGCAAAAGCAGCAAACATGCTCATCATCGGTGTTTGAGTGTGTAGCGTTCGTAGGGCACGTTCCAACCTGGGTGCTGGAACCAGCATCAAGAGAATTTTCCGGCATTTTTGTGCGAAAGACCATCCGGCAACCAAGTTCACAGCCTCGGTAGTTAAAGATCTAAATAGTATAAGCAAAAACAATAGTAATCGGAAGCATAGTGACGAATATGAATAGGAAACAAATACAACATAAGAAATGATCATAAAATAAAAGACGCAGTTAAAAAACAGTGACATGCACCAAGGTTAAGTTGCGAAAAACCCTCCCAGGTTATGTCCATCAATCGGAAAAGAGAGCACCGGCACAAAGGAGTACTGCCATGATAAATTGAGATTAAATGGGCCAGCAAACTGTTCAAGTTAGTTAGCTATAACAATATATGCATAATTGTTTTGCATAAATTTTGATTTATATATTACTATAAATCAATACAAAAAGTATATATAATTCTTTTTTTTTGCGCGCTTAGAATGAAACAATTTATCTTTTCGCGATGCTGCTTGATTATGAGAAGTCTATTCTTTTGGATATTCACAGCGAAAGTGTTGTCTTTGTGTGTGCTGAAGGATTAGATATAGATTTTATCATTTATAATATGATTAAACTACATTGCGATCCCCAAAATTTGGTCTTAGTATCCAACTATAATGTCAATGAAGCCCGACATTTGATAAATATGCTTAAACAGGATGACACACTTCATATACCCTCTGTCATTACCGCAGATACTAATACGAGAGACCGTGAAACCATTTATAAGCGTGGTGGCGTCGTCTTTGTGAGTTCTAGAATACTTGTTGTTGATCTACTGATGGAGCGTATGCCGTCAGTACTTGTTTCTGGTGCCTTCATACTTAGATGTCATCAATTGCAAGAATCTTGTCAGGAAGCTTTTGCTCTTCGTATTCTCCGCGAGCGAAATCCAGATATATTCATAAAGGCTTTTAGTGATAATTCTATAGCCCTCACATCTGGCTTTAATCATGCTGAACACTTGATGATGCAACTTGGTATATCCCGTATTCTTCTATGGCCACGCTTCAATTTACATGTAGTATCTTGCTTAGATGCCTCACAGCCTCATGTTGAAGAAAGCAGAGTAAAAATTCATTTGTTCGATCTTCTTGCGACTGGATAATTTTTAATCTATTTTTTACCCATCAGGTCTATATGTCATCCCAAATGCTTACTTGTCAGTCATATCTTCTGGAACTAGTCAAGCTTACCTTGCGAGAATTGGTTAGCTTAAATCCGTTTCTCAAAACCGATGAGTTCACCCTTGAAGCAGCCCTAAGCAATTCGTTTGGGAAATTAGTAATACTCATTGATTATAAGATCATAATTATTTATTACAATTTTAGCTGATCGCATCCCTATTTTTTCTTAGGTCAATCTCTATCTCGATCCAGTATGGCACCAATTGTCATCCTCTAGTCGACGACTAATACAAGATTTATCAGGCTTGCGCCGCCTACTTCGTACTTTAATCAATTCAGATGCAGCCTCTTTTCTGGCAGCATTAGAAGGCATTCGTACAAACCAACTTGTTCCATTGACTGGTATTGGTCGTTCTGGATTTGGAACACTTGGTGATGCTAATTTAGTAAAAGGGTGCTCTAATTGGCTTTTAACTGATCAAGCTGATAGATTGCTGATTGCAGCTCGAAAAAGAGTCTTTTCAAACTATTCGAAGCGTAAGCACTTTGAACTTTTACTTAAAATATGCCTGATAGTTTAACTAGATACTCAGTTCATCTCAAAATATTATTAAATTTGCTATTTATTTTAAATAATTTATTGTATAGTTCGTTTAGGCAATAATCTATAATTGTATCATGCTTATTTCCTTGAAACGCGCCCCAATCAGGTAGCGTTGCTATTGAAATGAATCCTAAATGGATTGCACTAATAGACGTTTTGAAAGACATATATGACGCACAACTATCTTCCAGAAGCCACAGTTGTTCTATGGGCGGTCACTGTACTCATCAGGTTGGTTTTGACCCTTTCTCCAGCTTACTTTTATACATGGATTTTATACGATTTCCTTCTTTATTCTAGGTGCTTGTCCTTCTAGAGCGTGCCTCAACAGCCCAGCTTTTGATTAGATTCCTAATACTTGGACCTGGTTTCGTTGCCCGTCAATTGACGCGTGATCATCTCCTTGGCCTGATTCCACAAGCCCCAGCAGGAAGCAACCAAGAGAATAACAAACGTCGTGTCCTGGCCAAAGCTCGTCTCATCGAGCAAGTACAAATTCCAACTTCGCGGGCCGTTCAGTTTACAAAAAAGGCGTCAAAGGTGACCTAATAAATTTATCATTATCAATCATTTCCATCGTATACAATACTCTTTAAACATCAGTCATCTGATCTATGCGAAATGTTTATAAAGTGGCGATTTATGGGATATCATAGACTATTTGAATAAAATTACATTGATATTTTGGAGAGTTTCCAATTTTGTGTCTGAAGGTGAAGTGACTGGTGCCAGGCTTGATCACGGGGGATACTAGCCAACACATACACATGAACATCATCCCAGTACCATAGGATTAGATGGGAATGTCAACTAGAGTCGAGAGGTTTGCATTCCGCAATTCAAAGAATAAAGGGGTAGCGGCGCATTCTCAAACCAGCGGTTATGAC